CTGAGTATGGGGGGTAGATTATAGAAAGGGAAGGTGTTAGCACCATTTCTATCCATGGTTTTCCATGGGCTCTTAGGTACTTGCTCATTTTTGAATTGCTTGTGTTTGTGTGCTTGTTTTGAAAAAGTTTTACTTTGTGATAACCCTTGTATCAGTCCTCAAGGATGTGACGAAGGTGTTTTGAAAATTGTTTTAAAGGTGTTGGTGTGAAAGGTTTGTTTGAGAAAGTACCTACTAGCATCTACCTACTCGAAAAAAAGATCGTTTATATTCTTGTTTCCTTTAGACAGCACTATCCTACTATTGAGAAATAGGTAGCATCGTCGTTGGAGTTGTAAGGGTCAATTCGAAAGGGACGTACGGTCACTAAAGCAATATTAGGACACCTTAGTAGTAACCCTAGAGTTTTAAGATCTTTTCGAGGCAACATTTCCGAGGCAACATTCGAATGGGACAATTTGATCTTTTAGACTGGAGGGCAACCACTAAGACACCCTATGCTTAATGATCAATTACCGGAGGCATCCGAAGTGAGAGTATACCCTAAGAGTGAATATGTGCGAGTGATTTATTTTCAGTTTATTATCTTTGCACATTAGGGTTTTCTAACCATTTTAATTTTGTCATGCATTCTTGCCATACAATCCTATTAGCATTCATCTAACAGTTAATAATTGCGGAAATTTAAAAGTGCGAAAATATAAAACCTAACTATTACAAGGCTTTGGGGAGGGGGATTAATTACATAACCAAAAATCGGGGAAAAGCGATAAGTAAAAACCCTAGTTAAAACTATTACATCCTAAAAACAGTTACAAAAATAATAAAATAATTAAATGTGCACGGTAAGTTAAATGCGAGGCGATAAGGGTTTTGACCCTTTGACTAATCCTACTGGGGATTAATTAAAGAAAAAAATGTTTTTTGTCATGTTTTGTTATTTGAGAAAATAATGAATAATTAAATTGCAAAGAAAATCCTAAGTTCTAATTAATGTTAATTTAGGAAAATAAATAAATTAATTCTAAAAAACCTATTTTTTAATTTTTTTATTTGAGAAAAAGAGAAAAATTTAATCAAGAGTTAACCTGATTTTCTAATTGGTTTTTATTATAAAAAATAAGTTAAAGTTACCCTAAATTAAATTAAGCTAATTAATTAAAAGATTAAATTTGATAATAAGAACTAATCCTAAATTTGTGAATTCTTGATTTTGTGACTTTATGAAAAAAATTGATTTTTTAAAAATAAAATAAATAAACAAATTGCAAAGAATAAAATAAGAAAATGAAAAAAAATTAGGAATGGGCATGTATTGAATAGCAATGTTGGGGGGGTGAAGAACTAAAATCCTTGGCCCATTAAGCCTCCAGGCCTGGTCAACCTTGGATCTGGTGCATCGTTGACTTTGAGGAATACCATGGTTCTTCATTGCTGGCACGTTGGATCTGACTAGCTGGACATCCAGTGGCCAGGCGCTGAGGGTTTATGGAAGGCGTATGATGATGTATTACATTGGATTCGCCTGAAACAATCAAGAAAATAATAAAATGCACACGCCTGGGACCGAACCCAGGACGTGTGCATCAAAGGCATTCCCTCCAACCATCTGCGCTAGATTGTTAACTTGTAAGCATAATAAACAAATAAAACCAAAAGCCAAGTTAAATATTCTGCCAGCCCCAAACGCGCTAAATTTGAATGGACTAATCACGCTTTGACACACATCATCTTCTTCCCTTCTCCGTTGTTTTAGACGAAGGGACTTTTAACTACAAACATCCACTGTAGGTATAACCCTGCACATTTCAAAAATGTTGTACACGCAAGATAAATGAAAGGTAATGGTACCAATCAACTCGTCTCATCCTCACGAGCATCATGGTACCTGATTCAAAGCCCAATTGTTCCTGTACAAAAAGACCCTAAAAATAACACAAAAACCCTTGCAATGGCAACATCGTGTACAGGCTTCAAAAACGAAATTAAATAATGTAGTTAGCTTGCAAACATGATGATAATCACAAATATGACAATTAAAATTGCTAATGATGCAAGAATTGGGATAACCGATTCTGGAAAAAAAAACGCAAATCGTGTGAGTTACAGTTGGTGTTTCTGGGTGCTTCAAGCCTTGCAACTAATCTAATTGGCTTCTGGGAAGGTCCAGCAATGGATTGGGATAGCTAGGATGGCTTGAGATGGCCTGTGGAGTGAAAACCAATTCACACTTTTCTTTGAATTTTGTGACTTTGCTATGCCTCCTTTCACGACTCTAACCCATGTACTTTGATCTGGAATTGTTTATTATATAACCTAGAGTGAATTAGGTTAACAAACTTGGACTAAATCTTTGCATTTATCCAAGATTTGATTTGATTTGCAAGCTATATGATATGTTTCTATTTTGAGCCAAATCATGCCTTTCTTGTACCAATTGACCTTAATTCGATTTGATCTTGTTAACTCAGCATATCTTGATTGCCAATCTGTCAAAAAAACAAATCAAATCATATCTTTGTTAATTTTCATCATTTATTTGATTTAATTCACTTTTTAATTAATGAAAATAAAAATAAATTGAAAAATGAATCACATAATGGGTGAATGAACATTTGAGTCGTGGACCACATTATAATTGAGGTGCAAGCATAAAAAGTTGGGCCCATTTAGCAAAAAATGCAAATTTGAGCACATTTGACTTTTTGAAATTTTGCAAAAATGGTCAACTTAGCCAATGCATGACTCTCTCAATTTTGACCCTAGAGAGGTGTTCTTGGACTTTTTAGAAATCTTAGGATGTCCTCTAAACAACCCTTTTAGTCTCATCTCAGTTGAGTCTTCCTTGTTCATGTATGAAGCTTTGACCCAAAAGGTGTTTTTGTTGACTTTTCAAAAGGACCTATAATGTCAAAAAAATATATATTTTTGTGAGTGCATATTCTGGACTTGGGAGATGAAGATGAATTGTAAGGAATTGCATCCTCTTCAAAATGATATTTGGATGGGTCATTTCTGATAAAGTATGAGAAAGTTATGCTTGGTCAAAGTTGAGTTGACTTTTCTTGTAAAACCCTAATTTAGCAACTTTTGGGTTTTGATGAATTGTGAGCAATTATTGAGGAATCATGATCAACCCTTGATCAATTTATGGATAGTAATTCAAAATGAGGATGTTGACCAAAAATATTGAAGTTTGACTATATGTGGGCCACAGTTGACTTTTGACCTAGTACAATTGATTTTCCAAGCATCTGAGCAGTTGACTGAGAAAACTTCTTCTGCAAGGCTTGAAACTTGACATGGATGATCTTGAGAACATATTAGTACAATGGTGAGCATTTGAATCCTTTATGGTTCACACATCTTGATGAAGAGGGAAACCCTAATTTGAAGTATACTGCCTTAGGAGAGAGTTTATCTGGTCAACTCTTGGGCAACCTTGAACAAATTGGGGACCTCACTTGACATTTGTTGAGTAAAATGAGAGGGAAAATTTTGGGGTACAACAGGAAGGTTTAGGATGGAGTTCGAACAATTTGAATGAATCGATATTTTCATATCAAATTTCAGACGAATCGCTTGTTGTTGACGATGTTGACGATATTGCAAAGATGAACATGTTAAACTTGCAAAATGATGATGTTTCGAAGCTACGATTTGCAAGTCTGGAAATTGCTTACAAGTTTTACTGTTGGTTTGCAAACATGAACGGTTTCATGGACCCTAAAGGTCAAGTTATTAAAAAAAGAATAGAGATGTTGTTCAACAAACATTTGTTTGAAAACTTAAAGGATTTAGGCAAGACAAAGTATAGCATCACAAGCATGGTCCGCAACACGAAACACATTGTGGACTTGGAGAAAAATTTGAGGTTCATATTGATATAATTTCACATTGTTGGTATGTCATAGTTTTTACCTTTGAGCACAATCATGAATTGTTAAAGGAGAAGCATTGCATGCTGTTGGCAGGTAATAGAAAGCTTAATGAGTCAGATCAGATACAAATTAAGAATTTTGGGAATGCAGGAATCAAAGTAACTCAAATGATTAGTTCATTCGCAAATGTTGTCGGGGGGTATGATAAGGTAGGATTTTTGAAGAAGGACATACATAATCAAATTGCAAGACAAAGGAAAGATATGTCTTCTGATGCTAAAGGTGTTATTAGGTATCTTATTAATCTTCGCGTTAAAGATTCATTGATATTTGTTGCACACACATTGGGTGCGGACGTAACATTGCAAAACCAATTTTGGAGCGATGGTGAAAGTCAAAAGAATTATGAACTGTTTGGAAATGTGCTTGCTTTCGATGCCACATACAAGAAAAATAAGTACAAGTTCCCCTTTGTTGTTTTTTCTGGTGTTAATCACCATAACCAGACGGTTATATTTGCTACTGCCATAGTTTCAGATGAGGTCGAAGGGACGTATGTATGGTTGCTGGAGCAGTTTTTGGTTGCAATGAAAGGTAAGACACTAATATCTGCTATAAAGGACAGTGATGTTGCTATGACAAACGCAATCAGGAAAGTCTTTCCCAAAAGTTACCATAGGTTATGTGCATGGCGTCTCCTACGAAATGCAATGTCCAACATTGGCAATCCAAATTCATCCCTATTTTCAAAAAATGCATGCTTGTTGATCATGATATTTGGAAATTTGACAATCTATAGAATGAAATGGTAGACGGGTTTGGTTTAGAGGAGAACAGTTGGATCAATGAATTGTACCAAAAAAGGAAGATGTGAGCAACAACTTATATTTATGGAAATTTCTTTGGAGGAATAAGAACAACGCCACAGTGTGAATAATTTCATAGCCATATGGGTCAGTTTGTACACTTGAAGATGAATATGACTGATTTTGTTAAGCAGTTCCATAGGTGCGTGACATATTTTCGCTTTAGAGAGGTTCAAGCTGATTTTCAATCCTAATATGGACAGACTGTGTTGCAGACCAGTCTTAGGGCGCTTGAGAGTTCATCTTCAAAGCAATGGACAAAAGAGATATTCGAGATGGTACAATCTGTTTTGAAAAGGCATCCTTAATATCTGTATTAAATACTCAAGATATGGTGTCCTTTACAATTTATGCAGTGATAAAATATCGATGCAAAGGGAATGGATGGCGTGTAGCCCACTGTCTATCGAATAATGATTTCAGATGCTCATGTATTAGAATGGAATCTACTGGGATTCCCTGTGAGCACATTGTTGTCGTGATGGTTTATATTGATATTGTTGAATTTCTTAAGACTCTTGTGTTGAATTGTTGGTCATTATTTGCGAAGGAGTCTATTAGTGGAAGTTATCAAGATGGTTCACACTATTGGGATTCACATTTGGTTGCTAGACAGGCTAATTTGGTGAATCTTAGTAAGGAGGTTGTTGACTTATCATATATGGATGTTGATGATTACAAACTCTTTTTAGAATATCTGCCTACTAAACATAGTAGGATTAAATCGAAATACGACAATGAAGATGTTCCAGAAAACGTACATGTTGTAGAGGAGTTGGAAAATATACTTAACCCTTCATGTTCAAAAAGAAAGGGTTGTGAACTAGGTACAGTTGGTACATCGGGGAGACGTAGGCAGACACAAACATGTAGTATATATGGTGCAGCTGGTCACAACAGAAGATGTAGTCCTACTCTTGGAGCAGATGGAGAGGCTCCTCTAAATACTTCTTTACAATCACCATATGTACGCTTAAGCAATGTCTTAGGATTTTCAGATTGAAAGTCTGTGATGTGATGAAGCGAAGCCAAAATGATGATGCAATACCTCCCAATGCAACTGTGAAGTTGTTTATTGTTTTCAGGTATAGTTAATGTAGCTAAGTTTGTAGGGATGGTGTGAGGATTTTGGGACCAGTTGCATTATCATGTATGGGATCTTTGTAGTATATTTGGGATGTTATTGATCCCTCTTGTACTGGTACTGCATAATTTTAAATGTTGTTTTATAAGTTGCATTGTTAATTAGTTTTATGATAATTGACATTTGTACTGGTTTCATGTAATGTTGGATGTTGTTTTGTAATTGGCAATGTGCCTTTTTCATTTGTTTTTTAAATCTATTATGTTTTCGCACACATCTTTTGGTGTAAAGTTCCATATCAGTGTGGTTATAATGTATCAATATAAATCATTTTGTATTACATGTAGACAACAAAATTGTGTAATCATAAATCAACACTTTGTACATCAGTGTGGTTATAAGAAACATGTGTTTATAAGAATTATGTTTCTATAAGAATCAGGGTTTTAAAATTAACACACAGTATTATAGACATAATGTAATTGATAATAATAGCACAATTTTTCAACTCAAGTTGCATGTCATCATAACAAATAGAGGCCCACCAAACTACTCTGAAAGTGTAAATCATTAAGGTGTCTCTGTTATCAATTACTCAACACTAATGTCCACATAGTTACACAACACTAATTATGCAACCTATACAACCACTCCTTCAAAGAAAATATCCACAACATTTATTTTATCCACCGTTAATTGTGTCGCATAATGCGTTATTGTCCAAGCCATCATGAATATATTAACACCCAAGGATGCAACAAATATCTGCATATCAATGTAAGTAACATAAAGCAACAAAGGGTGGTCCATATTACAGAGAATAGCCAACAATATAGGAGATATAATAAATAGAATAAGTGTATGATACGTTAAAGAAAGCAACAACCAGATGTGTTCAAATATATTACAGATTATTAATTAACAAAAGTTGGTCCATAGTTATCTACCAATTATCCAAAAATTGGCCACGTCCAATGCAAATTGTTGTACCCCAAAATTTGCCCTCCCATATTCTTCAAGATTTGTCAAGATCAATCATCAAATGGATCAAGGGGTTGCCCAGTCAAACATCCTCCTAAGCCAGTCAAAATTAGGGTTTTGGTTCCTTCAAGGAATTTGAGGTTTTCAGTGGTGAAATCAAGTCCCATAGGCCTACACATATCCTCAAGCATCTACATGTCAAGTCTCAAGTCTCACAGCATCAGATTGCACAGTCAAAAAGCCTATTTGCTCAACAGTCAACTGCAGGGGCAAAATGGTCATTTTACAGTCAAAAGTAAAATTTTTTGGTCAACATCTTATTTTAAGCTCACAATCATCATTTGATCAAGTCTTGATCATGATTCCACAAGAATGGCTCAAAAATCATCAAAGATGCAAAAGTTGTTATTTTTGGACAGCTGAAAAGTCAACTGTAACTTGACCAAGGCATAACTTTTTCATGGTTCATCAGAAAAATCCCATCCAATGCTCATTTTGAAGGGGATGACATTTCCTACAACTCATATTCACATTCCAAGTCCAAGAAATGCTCTCACAAAAAGTTATCAATTTCTACATTATAGGTCAATTTCAAAAGTCAACAAAAAGGCATTTTAAGTCAAAGACCATAACTTGATATTGGTAAATCCAAATGACATGGGACCAAAGGAATTGGTTAGAGGACTTCAATACCTTTCCAAAATGTCCAAGAACATGTTCATATGATCAAAATTGAGCAAGATATGCATTGGAGAAGTTGGGAAATTTTTGGGAATTTGCAAAAGTCAACTTTGCCCAAAACACCTCATTTTTGCTAATGGGCCTCAAATTTCTTCTTGAAACATTGTCCAAAGCTTATGCACGACCCATTGAGCTTAAATTGATTTATTTTCTTATTTTTAATTAATTAATTGAATTTTTTATTAATATTAATTCATTTAATTGATTTAATTGTAGGAAAATATGAAGATATGGTTTTCAAATCTTTTTATGAAGCAAATATGACCAATATAAGCTGGAAAATTTGTGTACACATCAAGGGGACAAAAATCTCCCAATTTGGCAAGGTTTTCCAATCAAAAATATGCAAAAAGATTTGATTGAAATCAAATATTGAAAACATGAATTCCATGGATTCTTGGCCAAGATTGTAACCTAAATCCATTATACTATATATGCTGAACCTAACCCTAATGCCATTCACGTGAGAGCTGCTGCAAAAAGCCATATGCAATATTGGAAAAAAGTGAAGAAAACTCAAAACTGAATTCCATAATTTAACGTGATTCAAAGCTTGTTTTTGCTAGCATTCCCAGAAACCTTTTGCAAATAAAATCAAGGGCTAACACTCAAGGAAACGTCCAGAACAAACTCACGGTTTGCTTAATTTTTCTAGAATCGAAACTCACGATTTATGCATCATTAACATGTTATAATCATTGCTTTGCATTGCTAACACCTTTCTGAAGCTAACGATATAGGTGAATTGCATTATGGTGCTCTGAAACGAAAATTACCATTGACGAATTCTAGGTTTTCAAAGCTTTCAATTTGGGGATTTCCAGCACAGGAAAAATTAGACCTTCTCACGCATATGGTTGAATTCGTCAAGGCCAGACGAACTCAACCCAACCATCGCGCCATATTTATATGCATCAGGGACCTAATCGCTATTTTTCCTTTTTGAATTTTGTGGGGGTTAAAAACCCCCGCTATCTAACATATATTTTGCAGGAATAATTGAGGAAGATGAAGACGTGTTAGCTCCTGGGTGGTTGGTTCAAAAAGGCGCGCGCTTATTTTTTGTATACAGCATAATTATTAATTCCTTAATATAATAATCACTCTCTATCCTAATAACAATTAAAACGTAATGGTTGAGTGGTCAGCATGTTGAGTGGGAAGCATTGGGACCTGGGTTCGATTCCCAGGTCCACCCAAAACTTGTTTCTATTTTTTCTAGTGTATTCTCATGCAGGCATTTAAACGTGTTCCATCATACACCCTCCTCATCCAAGCGTCAGGTGGCTGGCAAGGCAGATCCAAAGGCCAACAGATGACGAACTCCATGTTCCCAGTCAACAAGCGTTCTGGACAATTGCAAGAAGTCAATGGACTGAAGGGCTTCTTGGGCCTCAAAATTGCTCCAACACCTCCTATAGGGCCCAGCACCCCCTGGTTTACTACCTTTTCTTTTTATTTTCCTTTTCTTTTTATTTTCTTCAATAATTATTATTACTATTATCTAAATTAATTAAAAAATTATTTTTCATAATAAAAATCAGAAACTTAAAATATTGTTTATTTTTATTAATAATTATTTTTGTAAATAAATTCATTAATTAATTTAGTTGTTTAATTAGGTTAATTGTAATCTTTTTCACATTAAATAAAAATCAAATCTAGAATTAGGTTTTTCTTTTGACACTTTTAATTTCTTTTTTTATTTTATTTCATTAAAACATTAAAAAACACACAAAAATACTTTTTCTTGTAAATAATTAATTAATTAGTAAATTAGGTTTAACATTTAATTTAATTGCGAAAAAAGGACAAATTCAATTCTTTTCTCAAAAAGGGTCAAAACCCTAAGGACGTCCCGATTTAATTTCTTTGCGCATATTTATTTTTAATTCTATTTTTGATTATATTTATGTAACTGTTTCCAAGGATGTAATAGTTAATTAGGGTTTACCGCTTTCTTTACTTTTCTCGTATTTATTTTCCAAACGGGTTTTGTTTTTGGTGATGTATATACCCGCGCCTTGTAATAGCGTAGATTCAACTTTCCGCAATTTATTTTCCGCACTCTTAACTGTTAAAATGCATGAAAGACTTGTATGACAAATAAAATCAATACGCAGCTCACAAATGCATGTCCAAGATAAATATAAACTGAAACAACACACATGCACATGCCACCCTAGGGTACGCCTCACTTGGTTGCCTCGAGGTGGTCGTCAAGTATAGGGTGTTTTAGAGGTCGCCCTCCTGTCTAAAGATCCAGTTGCCTCGAAACGGTTGCCTCGGATAAAAAAGGATCTAGGACATTAGGGTTACCGCTAAGGCGTCCTACTATTACTTTGGTGACCACACATGTCCCTATAATCGAATTGACCCGAATAACTCCAACGACGGTGCTACCTACTTCTCAATAGTGGGATGGTACTGTCTAAAGGACATTTACACAGCTTAATTTCTTTAGAGTAGGTAGATTTCTCCTGGGTACTTGCTCTTTCAAAACAAAAATACTTTTCGCACCTACACTTTTCCGACAAAAGTTTTCAAACAACACTTCATACACTCTTGAGGACAGATACAAGAGTCAAATCGAAGTTTTCAAACAAACTTTTTCAAAACCCACAAACACTTGAAAAGCAAACAACTTTTGAAAACATAGTGAGCAAGTACCTAAGAGCCCGTGGATAACTACGGATAGAAAGGGTGCTAACACCTTCCCTTTCTATAATCTATCTTCCGAACCGAGAAACATCTCGAAAAGGAATTTTGCTGTGCTTTTGTCCTTTCCTTGTTGGAGAACATAAAAGACGGTGGCGACTCTTGCTTACCGCGACATTTCGCGAACTAGCTTAAAAAACAGTCAGTTCTATTTCCACCGATCACAGAACTGGAGACTCTACTGGGGATACTTTATAAGTGAGGTGTACCTTAGGATTAGACCACTCTTATGTTTTCAATTGTATGCCTTGATTGCTTTTACATTTATGGGTTTGCATCGGAGTTTCATAGATCCTAACCCGAATCTGGGGGATACCTTTTAGAAGTAGCAACAAACTGTGAGGGAACTGTGCGGGGTATACCGACACGGTTGAAGCAGTTGCTACGTTGATGTGGCACTTTGGTGAGTACCGATAACCCTTGAGTCAAGTCAAGGAGAGTACGGGGCTGTCGCGTGGTGTCGTGAAGCATCAACTGAC